TAAATAAACCTATACATATATAAACATATATATATATATATATACACATATACACTGTATATTCATACATATATATATATATATATATTCTATTATGCACTTTCAAACTAAAATCATTTCCACATGTTTTCTCTGACCATTATAGCTTAGTGTCTTCCTCCTCACTGTACACATAAGGCTTTGTCATAAGACACCTCCATCTGAGCTGTCTTGGTATGACTTCTGAATGGATCGATGCGGAAACGGGGTGTCGAAGCAAACACATCCCTGGTGGGTTTTTGTGCTGTGAAGTGAGGTAGTAACAGAGGTGAAACGGTCGACGTGAAAAGTAAGCCAGTTCCACAGCTCAATAATGTGATGACTGTTGGTCTGTGTGACCAGCTGCTTGGGGGATTTAACAGATTTTTTAAGAAGGGATTATGAACGATGACACAGCAACTTTGTATTTGGTTTTAAAAAAGTTAGTTAACCACAAAGACAATCTCTAAATAGAGTCAATTTGACATGTTTTGAAAACAATATGATGCAGACATCCATCATATTTAATACTTTGTGCTCCATGTCAACACAGCTGAGTTCTGCTCCGTTCCTCTTTTTGTTCTGCAACGCTTGTTCTTTTCCTGAAAGCTCACATCTGTGCAGGACGTGGCCAAATCTACCAGCGATTTATGAATGGCCAGAGCAACCATAAAGACAGACTAGTCTGAGAGGCCAGCTTGTGGAACTGTTTAGACTGTATTCAGGACTTTCACATATAAACAAAATATTCATATTTCACCTTGAATCCAGGATCGTGCGTGTGAAACATCGAAGATATTTGAAGATGGCTGTGGAATCCTGCAACTTCAAAAAATCTTCTTCTTTGTACTTGAACAGAGCGAGAGCAAATCTAAATATGATCTGTGGAAAATAAAGAATAAAAGTCGTGAGCCCCTTTCACCATTATGAATGTAAAAGTACCAACATTTTTAATACGCTTAAGACCAGAGGAGTGGAAACGCGTCCTCTGAACACACAGCACACACCAGCTGTCTTAACATGAATAAAAACTATTTAATGACTTCACTTGAATTTCATTAAAGGCCAAACATTCCTGGAAGGAGTGAATAAACTGCCTTTCATGTCAGTTTAGACGATCACATCAAAAATAATGCTCTGCACAATCTCACATTCCTGCTCAAATTACACAGCCACGTCAAATTTTTGTTCAATATCTGTTCTGGACTTTCATGAAGGCTAAGGATGATTAGCTGTGGCAGCCATCTTGAACTGGGTTGACTCCCAAAAGTTGATGAGTTGTAGATGTTCCTCTAATGAATACTGATAGTTAATGGGATATTTTGCTAACAGATTGACACACACAAAAAAACATGTAAAGACAGTCAAAAACGTTATTGCCTGCCTTCTGTCGTTTAGTCGGCAGGTGATAGAAAGGATGATGACGCAACAGAGAACCGCTTGTCATATTTTTCATATCCTTTTGTTTCACAGATCTTTTGGGTCCTTTTTTCATTTTGATCAAACTAATAATATTCAGTGAAACGTTTAAAAATGGATGTCTGTGTTTGCTTTGAATAGAAGTGCCCCAAAATTTGTAACAGCACGTTTGATGTTCTGATGCATGCTCAATAATCCAGGTAGATAAATCTAACAAGGTTGAGTCAGGTCCTCTGGACGGGTTCATCTTGAATGAAACAGGAAAATGGAATAAGCGGATAAAAGATAATGGATGGACGAATATAAAATACATAAAATAAAGTTAAGAAGGATAAGCGAGTCTAAAGAGATATGCTTTCAGAGCAGTCTTGAACAGAGACAGAGAGGTGGTGGTTCGTAAGTCTGGCAGTAGAGAGTTCCAGAGGTGAGGGGCAGAGCAGGTGAAGCCCTGCTCCCCACGGTGGAGAGGAGGGCAGCGGGTACATGGAGGTGTAGCGAAGAGGAGGATCTGAGAGAGCGAGAGGGGATGGAGATGTGTAGGAGGTCAGATAGGTACGGAGGGGCAAGATTGTGGATAGCTTTGAATGTGAGAAGAAGAAATTTGAAGACAATGCGTGATTTAACTGGGAACAGTGGAGCTGCTGCAGGACCGGAGTGATGAGGTTATAGGAGGAGGTTTGAGTTATAACACAGGCAATGGAGTTCTGGACCATCTGTAGCTTCTGATGAGATTTATTGGTGAGGCCATAAAGAAGGGAGTTGCAGTAGTCAATCCGGCAAGTCACAAGACTGTGAACAAGGATGGCAGTGGAGCAGGATGTGAGAGAAGGACGGAGACCGTGAATATTTTGAAGATGGAAATAGCCAGACCGCAAATGGCCATCAGGGCACTAACGATCAAGTGTTAGTCTGATGGTCCTTTTACATGTGAACAGCTAGTTTTGTCTGTCACCAACAAACTGGTTGATCCACTATGAGAAGGTGCTGCTTATAAGACTGAGTTTGTTGCAGCTGCTCAGACTGAAGAAGTCTTCTGGACACAAGACGACACGTTTCAACAAAGAAGAATTAATCCAGAGCACCCGACTCAACCGTGTTAGAGCATGTTTGATGTTCAATCAATGTCGTCTCAGGGGGACAGAGCTCACGTTTTACTTTGCAGATTAATTCACTGTGCCATACCTCAAGTCACATTGACTCTCATCCTGATTTTGTCTGCTAAAAATCATTTGGGCTTTGATAAATAGTGGCAATTTTTCATTTGAGTAGCCTTGTATGTGGAGGAGGAAAAAAAGTGAAGTCCGGTTTTGCCAAATTTAAGCTTAATGTCTTTTTTATATATAAAGAACACTTAAAACACGACAAATAAAGAGCAATAAAATATACTCCAATGACAAATAAAAAGCACAATAAAAATCTATTACATACTCTTTTCACTCGTTAGCTTTTTTTGTTTCTCAGCTCTTTGAACCTGTTCAGACAGAAACATCACAGCTCGGCATCATCTGCCTCTTACCTTCGGTCCTTCAAACAGAAAGGCGTCCCAGATCTTAAAGAGGATGTCGCTCACCACGCTGTCCACAAACACCACCAGGAACCAGTTGAAGGTGATGAGGGAGAAGTCCACTTTGTGCTGCTCGAAGTGAGCATGAAGGCGCGGCAGCTTCTCGCTCATTAGGTCCTTAAACACACGCTGGTCGACCTGCAGGAACCAGCAGAGAGATATGAACTTTTGTTTTTAGTCCTGGAGTATTTTCTCTTGAGCTATAATCATATTCACCTGAGAGCCAAGCAGCGTCTTTGTGTAATAGTCTCTAGGCATGAAAACCTCCACTATGGCCACAAGGGTCCAAAAGACATCTTCTTGGTCCAAGTAGAGCAAGGCGATAGCTGCAAGCCTGAAGAAACGGCATGCGATAAAATAACAATGCTTACAAAGTAATACAGAGAGACTGCGATAAACTAGATCCCGTCCAGCACCTGTTCAGTCCCTGACAGTAGCCGATGTCTGGATTCCTCCAGGAAAAGGCCAGCAGGACGTTCCTGAGCTTGTGGATGCCGCCCGCGCTCGGCGAGGCGTAATGCTTGTTGTTGGGCAAAGTGCGCAGCAAGTCCAGCTCGATCTGCTTCGACGCCGGGTTGGGCCTCTCCCGGGCCACGTTCAGCAAGGTCTCGTAATAGTCCGGCGCCAAGTGTTCCCGGAACTTCTTGACGTGGAAGGAGACGCACCAGCGCCACACGAGGGAGCGGTGCTCGTGGGGCACGCCGCAGCGAATCAGGGTCTTGAGCTCGGGGGAGCGCACCAGGTCTCTGTTCATGGTGCTGGCCAGAAAGTTCTCCCACTTGACCCCAACGGACACCTCCTGATCCGTCATGGACAGGGACTTCAGCTCCAAGGCTCTGACCTTCGCAACCAGCCTCTCCTCCTCTTCCTCCTCCTCGGGGAGCGTCTTGAAGCCGTACACGTCGTACTCGCTGTCGGAGAGAAGATCAAACCGTCTGTAAATATGACTCAGATGCCAACAACTATCAGGGACTTTCTAAACATCTGTTAACATGCCAGAGCTTGTTTTAAAGACAAGAGTGACAGAAATACAAAGCAGCAAACCTGGTTCTTTCAGTACCCCCCCCCTTCGCCCCCCCAAAAATAATGTATGTAACCGCTGATTAAAGTAGAACAGGTCTTGTCAGTGCTTTTTGTTTACATTTGTTTGAGCTACCAGTATTTCCTCTCACGATGTCTTCTTTATAAAACTCTGGGTATACAATAAGGTAACCCATGCTCATCACGGTTGAAGTCACCATCTTCAACATTCGACTTTTTATGTCTGTAAAACTACTTTGTCTGAAACGTCAATATCCAGACAAACTGTGTATTTTCCAGCACCTGACAGTGTTTGGTTTGAAGATTGCGTGCTCCTGCTGGTCCGAGCTCTCTGCCTGCAGCGCGTCCTCCAGTAATCTGGAAATGACTTCCCGAGCAGGGCTCTGCTCCGACGACGAACACACGGGGGCCCGGACCTCCTGAAGCAGCACCAGGTACTTACTCTCCACCTGACACAGCTTGGCCTCCAGAGCGGTGCACTGCAACGACAGGAGAGGGCGAAAGCACAGATTTACTTCCTTCTTCATACCTTTAAGGTTTTAAGTTGGACACTGTCATTTCTTTCACCCAGTTTACCGTTTCTACCCAACAGGAAGTAGTACCTTTGCCTCTAAAGCCTTTTCTCTGCTCTCTGCGTTTCGCCTCAGCACCGTCAGCTCCAGGATCTCTTTGTTCAGGAATTTGTTCTGGGATTTGTATCCTTGAAGACTGTCCTGTTAAAAGTAAACACACATACAACAAAACATATATTATAGATCAAAGGAATATAAAAATGTCACATAAAATAGAAACTTACAAACAATAGTGTGAGTGCTGATTCCACATTTACGCTATTGCTTTCCTGTTTACTTTACAGCAGGCTAACTACCGGTACTTCTGCAAACTTTGTTTTTTTATTTTTTTATTTATCAAAATGTTCAGCACATCCAGGATATAGGTGCTATGATTTAGCATTTTTGTAATTTTTTCCCCCCAATTTTTAAAGAAATAAACATTATTTACATATACTTCTCCTATATACACTGAAATCTCTTCAGTTTAAAAAACAACAACTTTGTTCTCTCTGAAACCTACTTCAGCAAGCCTGCTCTATTTTTGCCTTCTTATACTACTTTAGCTTTTAGCCAGCCTTTTGCTCCTTTTAGCTGCCTTCTGCCATTTTTAGCATTTAGCTACTGCAACCAGCTTTCTGCTCCTTTTATCTTTTAACTAGCCTTTTGGCTGCTTTTAACTACCTGTTTGCTACTTTATGTTTTAGCTAGGTTTATGCTACTTTCAGATAGCATTTTGCTTTCTTAAGAAAATCTTTTTTTTTTTTTTTTTTTTTACAAGTAGCCTTTTACTACTTTTAGCTAGCATTCTGCTATTTTTAGATATTCTTTTAGTTCTTTTAGCTTTAACAACTGAGTTTCAGCATTCATTTCTCCAGTGAAGCTTTGTTTGTTTGTTTGTGCACCTTGAGGACGTCCAGCTCCTGCTGCTCCATGTGTGGAGCTGGTGATCCTGCATCATTTGGATTTCCGCTCTGCTCAGAGCTCTGCTGCGACAACTTCATGATGACTTCGTCCTTAGCCTGGATGGTCTCCATCAGCATTCCCAGTTGGTCGTTCATTTCCCCCACCTTGATTTTCAGGCCCTTCAGCTCCTTCTGCAGGCTCTCCTTCTCCAGGGACAGACGCTCCATGTGGCCACACAGGGACGGAATCTGCACGTCTCTCTCCTGAAGCAGCGCCTCCAGCCGAGCCACATGCTCCTGGGTTACAGCTGAAGCCTGACTCTGGTCCGAGGGGGAGGATGTGCGTGGAGCTGGTCGCTGCACAGCGGGTCCGTCACACTGGGAGGTTCTTAGAGTCTGTTGCAGAAGCCTCACCAGTTCCTGCACAATAAGATTTTAAAAAAGCATGTCTTTTATTATTGTGTGGTTACCAGAAAACATGGAATATATGTTAAAAAAGTGATATAATTGCTCTTATTCATATATATATATATATATATATATATATATATATATATATATATATA